GAGTTTAATGCCTTTATACACCCACGTTGTGGACATCGACTCCAAGTTCCAAGGTCAGGACTTCAAATCGTGAAAATACTATGTACAATGTTACCTCATTCAATCTAATATTATTCAAACCATCTTCAAACTCGTTTTGATGATATCTCTTTGAAATAAAACATTTACGTTTTATTCCATTAACTCTATATTAGTGTGTGTATAGTTACTAGCCATTTGCCAAAGTATGCTGTAGAATTTCAGTTTCATGAAGAATACGTAAAAATATCACTTACAGTATATATATATATATATCGGTGTTTCCTCTACCATTAATTATATCAGGAGGCGTCCCTAAAAGTGACCTTTTACTAGTTCACTTCCAAATCGGTTTTGGCACATAATGTTATTTTAATATCTATATAGCATAATTGTTCTACAAAAATAGTCTATCTTAGATTGTCATATAATGTAGAAAACGCTCTGCTGCTTCCACAGCTATGCTAGCACATTACTACTGTAATACTCTATATTGCTTCTAAGCAAGAATGGCGGTAGTGACATTTTCCCTGCCTGCCAGCAAGAGCCTCGTTTGACCGCCCGGTTATGTTTCTGTGCCACAATTATAAATACACACAGAGGACAATCTGCCGCTGCTACTCAGATAACTCTCACCAGTGCTTTGATATTCAAGGATTTACGCTTACTGTTAAAACAAACACAAACAAGCTTTGCACCACACTACCCTCGACAGATTTCAGAGTTGAAAGAGTGCTGCACTACTGGATATTTGCACGGCTGAAAGCTCATTTCTCACAGGAATATTTGATCAGAAAATCTCCTGATGGAGAATCAGACGCTTTATTTGAAATGCAAATGGGGTTTTTGTTCATGTAAAGTGGATGTATCACAATGGAAATACAATACAGCAAAAAGTAGAACAACGTCATCATTTCACATTCAAAGGCACATACGCTATTATATAAATATTTAATGAGTAATATCACCTGATTTCTACCGTATGTGCCAACCTGCGTGCCGTCAAAAAAACACAGATATAGATTTCGATTTTATTCTTCATCTCTGTCTAGTTTCAAGGACTGTGTGTTCAAGAGTGAGGCCTCTGAGTAAAATTAAATTTCATTATTTTTGACTCTAATCAAATAAAGCATCTGATTTATTCTTTTTTTTCCTGTTCATTTTTTCCTCCCATGCTATTTTATCTCTCTTCCCAACCCCCACCTCTCTAGTTCCCCAGCCTCCATTTCCAGTGAGCCACCAGCAGGAGGATAATTGATCAATCATGCTAATTGAGGAGTCTGGACAGCTAGCCTGCCACAGCAGATGTGCCAATTTGCATTCATTAAGATCGAAATGAGTCTTAATCACTGCTCAGCCTTTGATTGACAACATAAACACCCCCTGTCTTAAACTCATAGTGCACATTTACCCCAAAGCTCTATAAGGTGTCCATAACTGGAAATGTAAAGGGGGTTTTGGGGTTTTTTTTTGTTAAAGCTTTACGTTGCTGAAAGTGCACTTTTGAAGCAGACTGTAATAAACCATTGATTGGGAAAGTGAATCCTGGTAACAACCTGAAACCTTAGCAGCGATGATGGTGTCAATGGTTTTGGTCAATGTAAAACTGGCAAAGGGCAGTCGTGAAATTCACAAGGAAAATAGATTCAGAGGAATAAACAGGGCTTGACATTCAGTAATGGTCAAAATTTACATACCTGATTGAACGATTAATACAGCTCCATTCATAACAGCAGGTGATATAGATCATGAGATAAAATCTAATGGAAATTACCTCATCGTTTCAGTCTCATTTCCTCTTACTGTAGTAGTCTTGTGAGAGGGCGTTCCATCATAAATACAGAGGGAATTGTGTATTTTTCCACAAGTCACATTGACAATGGCTGCCCCTCTTTATTATGTAGAAGATAAGCTGAATTTCCCTATGAATGTTGTTTACTGTCATGAATCCTCAGGGAGAAAAACATAAAAAGAGCAGGGAAAAGTCAATGCCTTTCATACGGTGCTGCCTGGTTATTCGCCATTACGAGGCATCGGTATTTCACTAAAAATTCCATTCCCAAATCGGGTTAAAGCCTATTCACAGCCCCGGTGTTATAAGATTACAATTAAGGGTTGACTTAACGCTCGCAAACCTGATAATATATGCCATGTAGCCTAATTGTGTTGACTTGCTCAAAGGGAGGACAGATACTTGGTAAGCGATGCCTGTGAAGGTACCACCTGAGTCCACGGTTACTTCTGCAGACACAGTGGTGGTTTTGTGCGCTGGGAAACGGTGTGAGGTTATTACGGAGCATGAGAGCAAAATCTCATTAGCTCCACGAGCAGAGAGTGGAGGAAGAGTAAATATTATTAGATTAATCTAATGACCAACGGCAGCATTTGGATTTGTGGCATTCACGAAAATTCAATAAGCAACACAATAAGAACAAAACCATCAAAGCTTCTGTCATGAATATCGTACTCGTGCTTGGTTCACAATAACACAAAGCATATTAAATACAAGACTAATTTCTCGGTGCAAAAGAATAAGCATACAGCCAGGTGCTTTTACCTTCAAGTTTTTCTATGTGTGTGTCTGTGCTGTGTACAGTACAATGTGACAAAAAGGACAACGAACACAGTCACAAAAAGTAAAACAATAACATTTTGCCGTCACACTAAAAAGGACACAAAGGGAGGGACTTCATACAACAGTGCACCTGTCGCCTGGAGCGTTGGGAAGGTTAACGGCGTCAACACATACGGACGCACACAAAAGGCACACACCAACACACACGTAGGAGAAAGAACGAGCCTACTGCTCCGCTTTGGACCACGAGCCAAGTTTGTGAGAGAGAGAGTCCATAGACCTCCACTGAGTTATCACACTGCGGCCCGGGCATGCGTCCATCTGTGGAAAACATGGAGACTGTTCTCCCACACCGCACAGCTCAGCCTTTATCTACAGATGGTACTGGGCAAGAATGTGACCTTTGATTCAGTTCCTCGCACCAAACGAGCTTTGCAATGAAAAGCAGAGAGTTGTTTTTTTTTCTTTTTCTGGACTCCCAAACCGGACAAATGAGCACATGATTGTTTGCATGACATAAGATGGGTTTAACACAATTAAAAAAAACGTAGATAAGTGTCCTCATGTGAGACCCATTTCACCAGATAAATGGAGGAGGGCTGGATTCTTGCCCTGAATAAGGCATCGGCTCCTCCGTGTAGTGCACGAGGATCTGTGCGGCTGAGGAGAAGCGCAGAGGCTGAAAACAATGTCTGTGCCAAACGAGGCAGCCAGGGAAACAGTTCAGATTACAATTTATTTTAAATCATGATAAAATGTCACCGGTAATGAACCACCCCCCGACAACTGCTGTATGGGCGACTGCATAGCGTGTGTTGATGCTGGGCATTGGACTCTGGGTTACTTCTGCTCTGCTTCCTCACTTCTGAACCTGGGCCGCGTCGCCAGCGGGGCAATGGGGACCTTTTTCTGAATATGTGCAAAGATGCTGGCCGAGTGAGCGTGGACAACGGCAACTTGTTCCCGCCTTTTGTGCTACGGGGAAGCTTCCTTCAGAGCAGCTCGAAGGGCTAGCTGGTGGATCATCGTAATGCACAATGCACATTCCAATTACACCGCGCTGTCAACAATGAACATGCATTGGTGGACCACGCATTTATGTAAAATAAGGGGAATGACCCATCGGTCGGTGTCCTATGAGGACACCGACGGATGGGACATTGCTGTTTTAAAGACGGCTTTCAAAAGAAATGTGTGGTCACCGTTACGTAAGGAAGGAATGTATCCATGTATTTTTTATGCAGGTGAGCCCTTGCTTTGCTCCGAGGGCCCCTGATGGAGGAGTGACTGCATGAGTCTGCTGGATGCCAGAGCACTCTTCTGCAGCTCTGCCAAGCAGGTAATTCACGAGCAGCAGCAGCAGCATGAATAAAAGATAATGGGCCACAGCTGACTCCTTTATGCCGCATGTAATTTAGCTAATTCTTCAAAGCGAAAGTCTTTTCCGAAGCTAGGATTCTTAAAATGTTTCAATCTCGACCCATCTTAATCCCTTAATGTGTCTTAATTGAGTATCCGAAAAAGAAAAACACTGTATGTTTTAAGGTGGAAGTAAAGACAGCAGTGAATTGCGATGCAGCCGTCGGCATTGTCTAAGACAAACGATGATTTTTTTCATGAAAACGAATGGGCAATGATATATTACAAGCATCAGGATGCTATCAATAGGCATTAACATACATTGTACATGCTTTCACTCAGTCAGAGTAAAGACAACAGCCTCTTAAAGCACATCTCGGAGGAGCCGAGAAACCACAAACACAAGTGTCTGCCGATGAAAGATGTTTGGAACAGGATGCATCTCTAATCATTCTCATTTACTTTGGCTTCCACACTTTTGGCTGACGGTTTTGTATGCTGGCATAACAAGTGGTTTACTCTTCCGCTAGTCGCCGGGCATTTAGGGGCTGCCAGGAAACCCAAGTGCTCGTTGAGCTTTGTAGAGCAGTGTGGAATGTACCAAACGCTGTCTTTTCACTGCAGCCAGACGGCCTGTGATGAGGAGCAGCCAGAGAACGGAGCCCTACAGGTGCTGTATCTATGGGAAGCAGCAGCTAGTGTGGCATGCGTCTGCACAGATAGGTTTTCCACGACGGTTCATGGGCACAAGAGCAGCAGGACTTATCAGAGGCCACAGACCTCCTGTCCCCTATCTGACTGGAGACTAGAAGGAAACTGTTACCCGTTCCATCCCTCTTGTTTGCCTACAGCGTTACGCCCCGTGGAGCATTTACAGCCTTTATCCTACACTCTGAATCCAGTTCTAGAGTATTGAATTCAGCCGGAATCTCGTCGATGCGGATGTACGTTTTCTATAAAAAATTGTAATGAAGAAGTGTGAAATTGTAAAAGGATGGATGTGAAAGACGGTTTTTCCCCACCGAGCACGAAGGCGGCGCTCACTCACCTCTACAATGTCAGAGTTGGTTCTGCTCTCGTGGGGCTCGTTGTACTCTGTGTATTTCAGCAACACTTTGTCCATGTCTGTGCTGGCATACTGGAACAGTTTGTTAGAGCTGTTGAAAATGATGAGGGCTATCTCACAGTCGCACAGAACGCTCAGCTCGTAGGCCTTTTTCATCAGGCCGAACTTCCTCTTTGTGAAGGTGACCTGAGGAGCACACAGAAAACAAAACCATCCATTACAGAGGAGCACTCTTTCTATAAATTACAGTAGGAATTTAAGTCCAAAAATCAATTTGTAGACTATTTTCACAAGTGTAAATGTCAATTTAGGATTCTAATTATAACAGACGGTGTGTGTGGAGGGGGGGTGTTTATGGCACACTCATCAGTGGAGTAAGAAGTACTCATTTTTATAAAACTAAAAGTGACAATGCCATAGAGTCAGATTAATCTATTAATAGTAAAAGTCTGTACAATTGTACATGAGCAAAAAAATCTAATACCTGAGAAGGACATTTTACTCTTTTAAAAGAAATGCACTGCAGGCTAAGCAGGGAAAATAACAGCATTAACACTCACTACTACATGTTAACAATGTTAAGGTAACCAAGGTGACAGGTAACAAGATCGTTCCTCCTTTAGGAACGATTCCAATGACATCGTACAAGTCTGAAATGTCTAGTTATCAGAACAGAGGTCAGTGTTGTCGGCGAGCTGAGTCAGAGCTTTGGCAACAACAGGGGTCCATACATTAGCGTAGCCCCTGACTCCATATACGGAGAGCTATCTCTGTAGTGCAGCATAAGCCCTGTAACAGGAGCCCTCGGATGGGACTTTGGGTCATACATCACTCCAGTGGTAACGCAACCCCTCTCTGCAAAGTGACTTTATGTCCTGTATCTCTGCAGCTCTGTTTCTGTGGTCGTTTCAGACGCACACACACACACACACACGTCATTATGGGACAGCACCTCCTTACAGTATGCTACGGTCCTTCCTCCAGCTTAAAACAGCGCTGGGGAGGTGGAAAGGCAGCTGTTTTCGCTCATGGTTGGGTAATGTTTTAAAATGGGTCCATTTCGAATCGTGTCCTGCATGTTTTTCTTCAGTGCAGGTGTCTTGTCAAATGTGTCTCACACAATGTGGCTTGTGAATTTAAAAAGGCGTGCTCGGAGCCAGAGGATGTGTGCATGTGTCTGTATTCTCCATCAGTTTCACTGACCTACTAAGAGGAGTTGAGCAGATGAGCTGGCTTTGTTCAACTTTAATTGGACACAGCTTGAGGCTCTACCATTATGCAGTATAATCCTATGTGTCGTACAGCGCCTATGTGGCGCTCAGGCTGTGGGGTCACTCCACCTACGATAAATTCATTTAACATCTTCAAACACTACAGGTAATTACATAGGACTATTATTTCAGATCTAGACACGGAGGGGCCTGTCCTCTTTGAATTTTTCTTTTCAATGCACCGATGTTAGTCGAGCTCAAAGGGACAATCCAGATTCTAAAAGGACATTTTGTGAAATGACAAGGTTTCAATACAATTCATTAATGAACGATGTTTCATTGCAAACGGCAGACACGTGAGTGCCCATGAGGGATTGTGATGGACAATATGAAACATTGGAGGGTTTTATTTTTCTGATGGTTCTCTCAAGGTGGATGACTGTTTGGAGGCCACGGGGACACGGTGAAACCAGAATCAGCACCACCCACCCACAGCACCTGCAGTTCTAGCCAGCTGATCCTAGTTTCTCTCCGCCTGAACACCAGGGCGACCCGCAAGCTCATTTGCCCGCCTGCATATTTGATTTGTTCGACCTAACCAACTGGAAATCAAGGACTGCCATGCGGGAAAATGATTAACAAATTGTGTGCTCTTTAGTGGATGAATGTGGCTGCTAAGCCAGGCAGATGTCACTTTCAGCAGGGAGCCCAGGACGAGACGCTGAGCGAGGACTTTGTTCCACCTGGATGCATGGCGGAGTGCTGAGTGCAGAGCTGCTGACCCAGGCGCCGCTTCATTTCAACCTCAGCAGCAGCAGCGTGGAGACTCGGTGCTTTAGCCCCAGCCTCTAACACTGGTACTGCTACAAAGAGGCCAGCTGCTGCTCACACTGCCGTTAAAAGGTGGCAGCCACGTTACTCTTCAGTGGAAGAAGGAGACTATTTTATACAGTTTCACCCCGTTTTGTTCCTCTTTTTTGTTGTTAAGAGTATGGCCGGCTCAGTTTTGATAAGTCATGATCCAAAGCTGCTGTAAACATAGAGACCATTGTACACAAATATAACCTCCATCCACCCACATGGTTGTGGGGTAACTGGTGAGACAGTGGAAAGCCACAGACATCTTTGAGGAGGTCAAGTTGTCAAGTTCACTGGCGGAGCGCTCCTTCACCAAGTCAAAGGCACCCACTATGACACTGTGCGATATGTGGTTATAAAAATTCATTAGTGCGAGTGTGGTGAACTGATGTTCGGAGGAATCAAATGTCAATGCAAAAGAGAACGGAAGGCACATTTAAACTTCTAACAAACTGGAGTGTTTCAAACTTGTCTTTCACAATCTTGTCTTGTCTTTCAAATCTCTGCATTTGGTAGGGCCGTTAGAAAGGGTGATAAACTACCAGATGGGTCAGTAACTATACTGGCATTCAATTGAGGCCGCGTGAGGCCGGAAGCCCTGAACTTTAAGAAGCTCTCACAATGTCAAGATAAGGTGGTAGTTCTGCTCTCAATTCACACTTTATGCATTTCCAACTTCTTCCCAAGTGTCCTACCACCATGACCTGTTTTACTGAGCTTTAATTGAGCTTGTAATTAATTTCTCATAAGTATATTTTCTATACTTTTTACTATACTATTTACTACTACTATTATTACTATTTTGTACTATTGTACTATTGTACTATTTGGTACTATTTTGTATTTTTTTTACATTCAAGACTGTATGGGTTTTTTAAGGTACTTTTTACTCAGTAAAAATCCCAAACAGGGGCTGCAGCAGTGAGCAGACACTACCACTATTTGACAAAACACTTTTACTGAATGAAATCTGACAAAACAAATCTTAAGGGGAAACTTCAGAATATTCAGATAAATGGCCAAGAACAAATTTGCCTTCTGGACTTACTTTGCTCACTACTTTTAGTTGCATTTTTAAAATAAAATAAAAAAAAACATTTACACCAGCTGGACGTGTCAAAATCAGCCATCTAACGGTCCATCAACGTCCGTCCTCGGGCAGAGGTGCCAAGATGACAATCAAGACATCCGGGGCAGCTGTGACTGGGGCATGGCGGGAAATGCTTGAGTCCCTTCACCTTCAGTGGGGTGACGAGCTAGCGGCGTTTACGAGAGCCTCATGTCACCTCTGACGGGCCCCCGTGGCAGAAATGAGAGAGGGCCTGCGGGGTCAGAGAGGTCTGGCACCAGCTGGCAGAGTGACCCGGGCCCTGTGGCTGCTGCCCTGGCCACGCAGAGCCAGTGTGTGCCGGGCCTGGCAGACAGGCCGGAGCCGCCACGACTGTCTGCATGGATCAGCTCCGGCTGTGAGAGAGGACAGCCCCAGGACTCCCATGTGGACAAGTGAGACCGGCTAAGGCCTGCTCTACCGGGCGGGACTGACCTTGAAACCTAGAGTAGCCGTGACCGTTTAGTGGAGAGGGTGACATGCTGGTAATCTAAACTGAACAAGGTTTCTAAGAAACATCATAATCAATAACTAGAGCGACTCAGTTTAAAGTCAACTGTGAACGATTTAGAGATGCGAGGTGCAACCTCGGGAGTAAAAGTGACTGACTTGACCTGACTTCCTGTTTTGGCTTCTTCCGCGCAGTTTTATGGAAACTACATATCGTCTTGAACAACGTTAATATGAGCTGCGGCTGACACATTTGACAGTGTTCATCCGTTCTTTCCACGGTCCATCAACCATAGCTCTTTACCTGTCAAAATAATAATGACGATCGCTCAGAAACCACGTGAATGGGTAAAAAGTGGGAGGTAGACGCTGCGTTGCACCCCTGGGGAGAGAAAGTGAGACGCCCACGGGCATCTGAAGTGCCGGAGCACGATCCGAACTGAGCCACAGCAAGGGCGGGCAAACCTCCACCCGGCAAGAAAATCATCAAAACTTTTAATGACTTGGGCAATTACCCCCAGTGAGCCTGCTTAATGACATCCATAGGACGTCACCAGACACTGCTCACACCAGCCCGTACTAATGTGTGCCTCAGCATTTGGGCCTCTGTCGTCCCACGGTATGCTGCTCTCCCGTTTCACAGGGCTACACGACCACGTGTCAACAGAGAGCTGCACAAAAAGAGTCGCCCTTGCACGGGACCTATGCAACAGATTTACTTAATGTAATAATCTTATCTCACTTGTCGTTTGTGCACAATACACTTCATTACTCTGAGTTCTGAAAATGTGTTGTCATTATACACCGTAGGTAATGACTTGAAGCAAAATATCAGTTAAGCTCGCTGCTCGTCTCAACTCTGCACCCACAATTGCTGATAGATTGTGCAATTACAGAGCTTCTCAGCCTTTGCCACAGTTCGTGCCATAAATCCTGAAAGGTTAACTGCCCGCCTGGAAGAACTTGCAGTGATAATGGAGCCGAGACCTCGTTGTCCCCACACAACATCCTTTGCATGGCAACACAATCTAATTAGCCCACTTAGGGACTTCTTTCATTTCAAAGCAAAGAGCGCGGTCAGCTCGCAGCAGAGTGGCGTAGATAAAGGTTCAAAATGGTCTCACGACAATGGGGACCGTATGTTAATGGAAATGCCTCCTTGTTTAGGAGCGAGCCCCAGGGAGATGGCATCCGCTGCATGGCCCATGGGGAGGAGGGGGGGAGGGGGAAATAGGGGAGAATGACATACACTCATACATCACTTTATATCGAAGCTGTACTGTGCAGGGCGGCCCATTGTCACGGCGATTTCTCTGCTGAGCCAGCTAAAACCAACTAAATGCAGGCCGAAATGCCTGCGTTCTGCTGATAAACCTTTCTCACACGTTGTACAGCGAGACGTTTAAGAATCGGATGCAAACACTCGACTTTGGGGGACACTTTGATAATAGGCTACGTCTTTCCCCGAAGATCCATTTCTGTGTGGAACAATGGAGCTAAATGTCTCCTCTTGCTCCCTTCATACATGCACTAACCAAAAGAGGGACGTCTGCTCACCTGGCCATCATGCACTTTACTCTATTTACGCCCCTGATATCACAGGTCAGCTACCAGATACCAGCTATGAATCCTTCCAGCTCTCCTGTTTAGATCCAGCCCGGAGCCAGGTGTTACACTGGTAATTGGCCCACACAGTGTGGATTTTTCTTTGGCTGCACTGCTAGTCTTACAGTTATCAAACACAGACACGGTGAGGGTACCACTTGGCTAGTACTGTATCATATCATGGTACTGTGACACCCTCGGGAGACGAAGCACCACCACAGCTCTGGTGTATTTCTGTGTGCACAGCAAAATAGTTGTTCCACCTGTGAAGAATGCAGATTGTATTCTGAGGGGGGTGTTAACAGGATCTGTTCTATTTGGCTATGGGGAACATATGCATCTTCATTAATTGGGAGCAATTTGTCAAAAACTGCGCTCACACTTAGAGAGGGTGGCTAAATGAAGCGGGTGAAAAGAAATGGACCCGGCCTTCTTGCTATGGATATCGAAGCCTGTTATTTTTGATGAAAGCAGGTCTAGCCTGTTTTGCACTGTTTAGAAGTTTATATTTAACGTGAGCAGACCGACAGAATTCCAGCCCTCCCCCTCTCTGCGGCTAGCTGGGACCAGCGTAGCCGAGCCAGAGAAGGTTGCTGTGTGTCCTGCTGACCCACCCTGGAAATGAGAGGGTGCTGTGGTGCAGCGGCGGCTCCTAATTACTACCAAACAGCTGCAAACACACAGTGCTAAAGCGAAGGGGCCCAGCCAATGCCGCCCGGTCAGGGCACAAGCCCCACAGTGTGGGGAGGCCACAGGCGGTCCGCTGTGCTCCTCGCAACCCTCGGTTTACTCCCACGCCACGAGGCCCCCGCTGAAGCCCAGCGCTCCTGCTGCCTCATCAAGTTTTCGGGCTGAAATTGCAGGGTGGCAGGGGAATCGTGTCTGTAAATATGACCACACCGACAAAGAAATGTCGCGGTCCCCGTTCAGCCGCGCTGGGACTTGGGGGAGGGAGGTATGTCTGTTTAGATCCTTGCACACCATGTCAGGTCCAAGGCAGGAGGGGGAAGAGAAGAAGGCTGTAACCTTCAAACGGGTACAGAGGGGAGACACCAAAGGTGGATGTTGTAGCATCTCCTGGGATCCACTAAGAAATAAGCTATTAAGGAATGTATTTGAAGCTTTAAAAAAAGTGACCCAGGGAAGATAAGATAGGTGTATAGATTGATGGAGATTGTTCTGACACTCACCTGCCTGTTCCTCTCATCCATGATCCTGGTGATCTGTATCTTCTTCCGCCCCATGGCTGCTTCCTTTCTGGTCTCTCTGACACCTCAACAATATCAGACAAACAACACGATTTTGTTCCCGCGCTGTCCTAGCACATCGTGCAACAGCCTCTCTTCTTGTATACAGTCTTTCTTCTTCGCAACGTGCTTTTCAACACCACAACCTGCAAGGGGACAGAAAGAGAGAGAGGGGGGGGGGGGGGTTAACTTGACACTCAATAATGTCTCCTTATGCACTTCAAAGCACCGGAGGGCTCTGCGCTCTGTTCTCGAGCACCTTCACTGAGTGTGAGACCCACATGGTGTACCCTTATCTCCTCCGCTGCTGCACTTGGACCACAGCTGAAGACGACTTCACACTGACAGGGCAGCAGCTGCACAAGACTCAATGAACAAGGGGTCTTGCGCTGTTAGATGAAAAGATTGATGCCACTCTCATAACTGTCAGTTAAAGCCCACATCTCTCCAACACTAACAAAATGCGTCTTTGCGCTGCGATAAGCTAAAGGACTGCTCTCTCCCCGTAGACACGTTCCGCTGTAAGTACTGCCCCCAGATTAACGCCTTGTGTGTTGATAGCATTTTACAGAACGACGTTCACCTTTGTAGAAATGATTTGTCTGTGTTTCCCTTCCAGCAACAGCAACATTTCATCGAGCAGATGAAACCTGATGCCAGCTTTGCTCTTAAGATGATTAAGAGAGCACCCAACCTGGGTTTGATAGTAGTGCAAATCTCCTGGGCTGGAGGGAAAAGCCAGCCGGAGGGAGGTGGGTGGGGGTTATATTCCCGTATGAGCTTGTAACCTATCCTGTGGTTCAGATCGCACGTCCCAGGAGAACATCTTACTCTGTCCTGTCTCTGCAAGAAGAGATATAGTCCCTTTCCCAGAGGCAAATCCATCACTTACGCCCAGCAAATAAGAAAGTGTCTAAACAACTACATTTCCCATACGAGTACAAATGTAGACCGGTTAACTGCTCAGGCCGTTAGATGCAGTCAGCAGTTGTGAGGCGAGGACGCCAGGGGCCGAATTGGCAGGGAAAACTAAAATGACCGGTTCCAGTGGCACACGGTCATTATGGGTTACAGATGGACTGGCATTATGGTGTCTGGCTGTCTGAATCGGGGCTCCACTGGAGGCAAACTTGACTGAGATCACCTCGCTAACTACCCACACACCACCGTCTGCGCCAGGATAGCAACCGCCTGAACCCTCAGTAAGAATTTCCCCAAACCACATCACAACAGCACAGGCGGAATGACAGAGTTCTTGTTCATTCACACACACACACACACACACACACACTGGCTGACAGAGTGGTGTTTGAAGAGGGAGGTATATGGGTGCTGTTCAGCTTTCCCATAGAGATACCTGAGGCCCCCTACAAGCAATATCATTTTGGTGAATTTACACCAATGACAGGTACGCTGCTGAATTCTTCTAAATATATCTTTCTTTGTCTAATTTTGGGTAATGGAGATTCAATACTTTGGATGACATGACAGCGTTGAAACGGTCCGACAAATGGCTACTGTGTTGTTTCTAATCTGCACAGGGATAAAGACACAATCTCTGTTCATGTGTGGTAGAGTGTGATCTGTAGTAATAATGATGGTGACAAATAAAGCTGTATTTGTTTCCTTTGAGTAGTGATGCACTAATGAACAGCTTCCTTCCGCTTTGCCCCTGCTCTTAGGTGTGAACATGGCGTTGGTTTAGAGGAGCTTATCGCAGGCGGACTAATCTGTAATCATCCACTGAGACTGGTCTGAATTACCTACTGATCATTCAGTTTGTGGAGGCGTGTGACCCGAGCTTGAAACTGTACCTCCGAAATGATGGAGACGCTCTCACACATCCTTTCCTCTCTGTGTGCCGACGAGCCGTCGCAGCGGGGCGGTTCGAGTGTGGAGGCATAATAGACGCCGTCAACATTTCTCTCACACATATACGAGACGACAAGCTGAAAGACCCTTCAGACCGCAGGTGTGCCGCACTCTTACTGTTGTGACAGTTTTAACTAACGCTAAGTAGTTGACTGAAAAGCTAAAACATCCAGACTGGAAAACCTCATTTTCAATATTATATTATGCTGCCATTGATCGTACAGCAACATCCTGCATATTACTTAGAATTATGCAATTTTTATTTTCAGAAGTTGAGTGGGACATTTTCAATCGGCACCCCTCCCCGAGATTGTCCCGTCAGAAGACGGTCGGACTACAAAGGAGAACGATGTTGTAGCAGAGTTCATTGTTTGTACGTGACACTGACTCCTCTGGAGCGTAGCGAGTGGAGTTTCTGTTTGTGGCCTAAATCATGTGCTCTGTGTGTGTGTGTGTGTGTGTGTGTGTGTGTGTTTGCGCGAGGAAAACAAACAAAGAGATGAACATAACTAGAATAACCGCCCCGTGGTTGTCGTCCTCCTCGCCAAACCAGTCAGGTTGCAGTTTACGTCCACGTCCGTCCACAATCCTCTAATTTATGCAGCGTGGAAGACTTACAGGCATCTAGTGGAGAAGTCGAAGACCCACTGGACACATTCTGTCGCCCCTCCTTCTCCAGAGAGGGTTTCTCTGTTCTGGCTACTGTAGAAACATGGCGGTGGAACAGAAGCCGCTTCATATGTGATATGAAAGGCTCGATTTGAGCTACAACAAAAGGGTAGTTTTGGGTCATTATACACCAATGAAGACAGACTTAATATCCTAATTCTTTTTGTGAATAAATCACGCTGAATCCTGTACACTTTGAGTGTGTTCGTTGGCAGAATGGAATTGAGCAATATGTTGACTAGTATGATTCAAGTTAATAATTTCCAGAGAGAAACGAGCCGCCTGTGTTTAGAGAGGAGCACAGAGGACTGATAGAGAGCTTCATCACATGTGCAAAAGAAATCACCTGAAGATCAATATCACCAGAACCAATGGAGCTATGAAAGGAACAGGAGGCCGCCTGTCCCGGTCAAAATCGGGGGAGAAGTATGAACCCGGTGATCTCAAAAAAGGAACTTAGTAACTAACCAATGAAGCGGATTCTAATTGAACACAAAGTTGCAGCCATGATGGCGGGCACTGCTTCAAATGTGGATAAATCTCTCATTTTTGAGCATCTTCACATTCCCCTCAGTCTTAATCTTAGTGTCAACAATTCAAAATCCTACTAAATGAAAAAGAATGGCCACAATGTTAGTTATGGTGCTAAATAACGGCTTCCTACCCGGTCGGCTCTGGAATAAACCAGTCCAGAGATCCCGAAAGCTTCTTATCAAACATTTTTAAGTAGCACATATATCGACGTGCAGAGAACACGTCGCCATAGGAACGGCCACGTAAGCTTGACAGAGAGTCGGCGTGACATGTCGAACGTAGCGCGGCGTCGCTGTACCTCGGGTTAGACACACTTTCGGTGCCGTTTCCATGGAAGTAACGCGGCATCGCAATCAGTTCCGACCAGAGCCGATTTGATTCTCCGTGACGAGGTGCGAGACCGGTCAAGTGACAGGTGGGGTCGGTCTGCCTCCCGCTCCTCCCTTCAGACAGTCAATCAATAGACACATGCTCCCTTCCCAGTGCAATTACTGGAACGGGCTCGTCCGACTCCTTCTCCGCGTTCTGCACTCGTTCCACACAACGCCGAGAAAATAAAGCAACAGTGGATTCATGTTTTTACTAACGAACAAAGAAATGAGGCCAGTGTCATTCTGTGCTTTTTCTTTTGCAACAAAACTGTATTAACTACACGGCCATAGTATTGCGGTCGACTCATTTCATACAAACACATTAAAAAGGTAATCAAAGGATTCATTCTTTCTGACTTGAGTGGAAGCAGCAGCTCTGTGCTTTAGAGCGCGACGGACAGCAGCCCACGTTGTGTGCACAGCCGTGACAGTTGCACTTCCTGAGCGAGGCACTGTTACCCTCAGTATCCTACCACAGGCCGTGGCAGACAAGACTCAGCTTCCTGCCCCCCCACTTCCTGTTATTCACGACCCCCTTTGCCTACCCCTTTGCGGGGGAATTTAGGTGTGGGGGGGGGGGGGTGTTGAAAATGATGAGGAGGAAGAAGGGGAGGGCCCACCTTTGGGACACCCTTCCCCTCTGATCCCTTCCCGTTATTATAGTCCTGACTGGGCCTGAGACTAAACAACAGCAGAGGCTCATCTCCTGTGGCTTCGCTCGGGGTGCTTATTATGTTTACTGGAAGGATCATTACGCAGGCTGGACGACGTGCACATGCCGCTCTCGAGCCACTCACTTTACAATTAGCAGGCAGAGACCTTTTCCCTGTTGTTCTAACACCCCGCCGGTTACATAAGAGTGAATCACGGCTCTCGCAACACGAGTGAGTATGCACTGAAACAACACAATCATGGGAGAAGCACATTTCTGACGCTGTAATCGGGAACGCGTTGCTACTGGGTTTCTGTGAAAATGGTCCACGGGAACCGTCTTAAGTGTATCCAACTCAAACCGTCGACGCCGTGGCTCCGCTCTGAGCAGCTTTCTGGCGGCTTAAAAACACACAGTTCTACCAATTCGTTTCGGTGGAGCCTTCGACAGCGGCACGCTAGGAAACGAACACCCCCCCCCCCCCTCCCCCTTTGTTCCTCGCTTTCATCAGGAGGTGGCGTACCTGTAAATGGGGCTGTAGGCCTGAGGGGAGTGGAGGCGAGCCAGCCCTCTCACGCTTTCTCTCGCTCGCTCTTCCCTTTTGTGAGAGCGCGCTTATCTCCCTCTCCAGCAGGATTGTGGCCCCAGCAGCATCACTAGTGTTGATGTCTCCTGATGCTAATCTGACACATGGCTGATCCCTCTACAACCACTTTCTCCGTCCCCTCTTTTCAACCCTCCCCCTTTCTTTCTTTCTTTCTTTCTTGCGTTTTCTCAAGGATTTCTTTCTTGCGACTATTGGGATATAATTAATTACAGCTATCGAAAGGGAAAGCAAAAGAAAAAAGTGAAGAAGGAGGCTATTAGAAATGTAAAGGGTGAGGTGGGGCTGTCGACTCGCACCACTTCCCCTTTCCTCCGCGAAGCATCGCACTGGGGGACATTTGATGATTTTAATAACACTTAAAGGGGAAGGTAAAATGACCATAATATGAATACCCTGAAGGTGGTGAAAGAAAATCAAACACATACGCCCGGTTTGCACACT